AAAGCCTGACGGGACATTTCATACTTCGGTTTACCGCAAAGAAACCTACGCGGAAGTCCTTTTGCATTACGAGAGCAATCACCCGATCTCTCACAAACGGAGTGCCGTGAACAGCCTCCTTAACCGAGGAAGAACTCACTGCTCCGACAGCGAAACATATCAAACAGAACTGAAGTATTTGTTCAAAGTGTTTTCCCAGAATGGGTATCCTAGATATTTTGTACACCGATGCATGCGACGACAGGAGTTCAAAGAAAAAGAAAAAGAGAAGGAACTAGATTGTTCCGATCAGGCGCCCAAACCAAAAAACTGGCGAACACTTCCATACATTAAGAATGTGTCCGAACTAGTTGAAAGACACCTAAAGAAGCACCAAATTCATGTGGCGCACAAATCGACGACTACACTTCGTAACCAGCTTGTACACCCTAAGGAAAGGGTTGGCTATTTAGATAAGAAGGAAGTCGTCTATAAGATACCATGCAACACCTGTAATGCAGTTTACTGTGGTCAAACTGGGAAGTCAGCCTCTACGCGAATGCACGAACATCAGTTGGCCGTAAAAAGGCGCGAACACTTGTCCCAAGTTGCCATGCATACGTTGGAAACAGGACACAAATTCGCCTGGGACAGGACTCGCATTGTAGGTGTCTGCTCATCCAAAAAGGGTCGTGAATTTTTAGAGGCCATCCATTCTGATAGCGCATGCATCAATCGACACGTAGAATTGGATACGGTGTACAACAGCCTCAAGGAAAAGTGGAAAAGGCGTTAGCCAATCAGAACATTACACCAGCAGGAGTGACAAGGCAAAATCGATTTTTTCGGCGTGTTTAAATGTTAACTGTTTTGCACACTTACTTCACGTCTAAAGACGACTTGGGGAACCAAGATCGAAAATTTACAATAAAAATGGTTTATCTTTCCCAAAGAGCTTATTTCTTTCGAATTATGATTCTTGGGATGCCTGTTTTCAAAAAAATATATATGGTAGAGCGTCAAACTCCATGACCAAAGATCCCGAGCTCGGGTGTTCCACACTTCGGGCTTGGGTATGGCTGGCTGACGACGGCTAATACGCCAGAAATGGCCATGTCAGTCTCCCTTGTCTTTGTCGGTAATGCCATTCTGCCTATGTATCATGCGCCGCTGTGCGGCTGCTGGCTGAGCTCGAGAGAGAGCCCTTAAGGCACAACGGTACGAGTGAGTTCCGTATCAACGATCGGTGAGCGCCCCCTACCATTGTATATTCCCGATCGAAAACCGACAGGGCAACGGGCTCGTGGCCCGGTGGGTAGAGGCGTGGACTTCTAAACCAACAGGTCGCGAGTTCGAGGCCCGGGCGTTCCACACTTCGGGCTTGGGTATGGCTGGCTGACGACGGCTAATAAGCCAGAAATGGCCCTTCCAGTCTCCCTTGTCTTTGTCAGAAATGCCATTCTGCCTATATATATATATATATATATATATATATATATATATATATATATATATATACATATACATATATTATGACAGTAGGCGCTCGCCGATCAGGTTACGGAACATGCTCGTTCCGTTGTGCCTTGGGGCTCATACTAGAACCCTCGCAGGTAGTCGCACAGCGACTAGCAGTAGACATAGATGAGATGATACCGACAAAGACATATATATATATGACGTAGCGCTCACTGGTCAAATTACGGGACACGCTCATCCCGTATATATATATATATATATATATATATATAGACGAAAATTCTGACCCCATGTTGGCGAGAGGGAAGAAGACAAGACGATTCCTAGGGATTGTCCTACCCTTTCCTCCTAAATGCACATGAGGCTAACAATTTCGCAGATAACTCAAAAGATACTACTGTGACAAGTTTTTTTTACTAATGTGACGCTTCTGACAGCTAGGTCGTTGCTACTTATGCGTCGTACAATACTTGCTATCCCACTGGCCATTACATTTTTCAAAAGTCTCTCTGGCTACTGAATCTTAATAATACGTACAGATTAACATTCGTGACACACTTGTTTAACTTTGGTAAAATTCCGTTCTACTGCGCCACAGAAAAAAGCGCTATTCAGAAAAATCCGAAAAGGTCGTTACCTAACGCATAGACTAAGAGGATGGAAGTGGATGTCTAAAAATAATTCTTTATTTAATCACATTTTTGGGTTCGCGAACGCGCCCATCGCAAAGGAGGTGCACCCTAGTATCTAACTCATCACCGACGCGAATGACATTCAACTGCACTACTGATTTGCGTTCGCACCCCCCGATGAACAAACAGTAGGCCAGTGTGCTTATTGGCTGATTCATCAGTAGAATGTCACGTCTCCTGTGGCAGGCGCGGACTCTGTTCAACTAGTAGTTTTAAGATTTTTAGGACGTCTTGTCATGACAACAGGCAAAAAAGCAGGAGCCTACTCCCAGAGAGGATGCGGACAGGAAGTTGGAAGCTTAGAGAGAACGCAGATTAGATTTTCTAAATATAGGCGTTGCAGAAGTTCCACAAAGAAGCGAACACGACGCGTTCAGACGCGAAATAGTGGGTAGACCAAATATTAGGTGAGAATGCACTTAAAGAGCTAACTTTCCGTCAGATTTTCACTATGAAAACGGAAGGACGTGTTTACTGCTTAAGTAGTGACTCCTACATAGGGAACCTTTAAATTTTCTAAAGGAAAAGTAACACTTCCTTGTGTAATATGTGCATTAAAGTTAAGCTTCAAACTTTCTCGCATCCCAGTCTTTTTTATGTAATACCGTTAAAAGCATAGTGAAATGCCTCAGTTAATGAGTATCTGCGTAGGTTGTCCATTTCAAGTAGGGAGTGCGGCCTGATATTTGAATTTCGGAAACCTAGGACAGCATTCTGAAGTTGTCAACGAAATGTCAGTGGATCAAATTAGGAACACAAAACACATTTTTGGGAGGGTATAAAGATTCGGAACTTCCATAACGAAGTATTCGAGGTTTCTTTAGGAGGAAGGCATCGTTTATCCGACCTTATGTACAGCCGTTCGTTCAACCAGTGAGTGAGCAGGACAACATCCCCTCAAGGTCACAGTTGTTACGTTCGATACGCTCCCGGAGAAGGCAAGACATTGGTAGAGGGGTGCGCAGCGATCGCGTTACGGAACTCACTCGTCCCGTTGTGCCTTGGGACTCTCTCTCTCGGGCCCCACCAGCAGCCACACAGCGGCGCATAGTACAGGCAGAATGGCATTACCGACAAAGACAAGGGAGACTGGGATGGCCCCTCTACCGTTGTTAATATAGTCGATCGCAACCGACAGGACAACGAGCCCGTGGCTCAATGGTTAGGGCGCTGAAGCTCTCACCAACAGGTCACAAGTTCGAGCCTTGGGGTTGAGTATGGCTGGCTGATGATGGCTAGTAGGACAGAAACGGCCATTCCAGTCTCCCTCGTCTTTGTCAATAATGCCATCACGGCAAGACATGCAGCGTACTTGAGTGTTAAGCACCCATCCTCCCCGCGGGGAGTCACAACACGCGCGGGTTGTCTAGGGTGCAGCTTGGAGAATATGACTAAAATTCGGCCAGCCGCTATTTCGTGATTCCAGCGGCTTACAATCGCTGACTAGGCGCCTTAGGCAAAGCCCTGGAGAAAACAACTCTATCATGACCGAAATCCTTCTGTTTTAACAAATGAGACCGCTATTCATAGCTTTCTTCCGATAGCAGCCTGAGGTTTGGAGCTCTGGAATGAAACACCTCTGGCCCAATTACTGCAAATGCGTCGGTATGAGTACCAAAGTTATGCAGTTGGGAAAAGGCAGTTTGGCAGGGCTTTTGAAACAGACGTTCTTCCGCGCACTTTGAAGAAGGTGAGCATCTTTTTTGCTCAAGAACGGTTCCTTAGTCTTTCACCTAACTGAAATCAACAAAATAAGGTAGTTTGCATTCGAATCGACTCCGGTAATAGTAGTCAAGTTCGCTGATGCTTATGCCGTGGAGAAACGGATATGTTATTCAAGAAGATGCATATGAGTATTCCGTTACAGCTGGCAGTTAATCTGTTAGCGGGAGTAAATAATAGGCATGTAACTATCCAGCTTTGGCGGAATCCACAAAATATCCTAATTTTAGTGCTCAGCTTTGCTGAACACGTGAAAGTCTAACAAGAGTTTTGTACATCGAAATTTTCGACAGGTCTACCACGCAGGCTTCCGAATGCTGACCATATATTAGATCTATACAAGTACTAAGATTATGTACAAATATAAATGGTGAAACTTAATACTTGTATTCTTTTGGACATTTCGTTACGTCTTCAACGGAGAATACAAGGCATTGAAGATCCACTTCTCATTATATCCACAGGCGAGCAAACGACGCTTGCTTATTGAGTGCATGTCTCTCCTTTTTGAGACACTAACGTTCCACAATAAGTTCTATTACCCTGGAAATCTACCTTCAAAAACGATTTACATGCACTCACAGAGAGTCTTTCAGTTCAAAAACAACCGCTCATGACCACGGTTCTCATCTATTCGAAGCATGAAAACATTGTCCAATCGCTGAAGGCTGCTTGGTGTCAGCGTGTGTTCTGTCAAACGATTTCAAGAGCTGTTTGGCTGTCCAGCCGAAAGCATCTCTAACAAAGGGGTTTCAATTCAGAATAACGGTATCCCCATGTACAAGATTGCGCGTCATTAGTCGTGACCTAAGATACTCAGACTTCCATAATGCGGGGAGGGTCTTTATGGGGCAAATTAACTGTCATACATATGTAGGTTAGAAAATTATAAAAGTATGATTAATAAAAGGAGGACTACCGTCAAGCGGAATAAATTAGTATAGTAATATCGTTTACAAGAAAGAAAAATACGGTCGGTTTGATTATGTCCGCTAGGCCGTCAGCTGTACAGGGTCCTGTTAATCTCAAAAGCGCTGTCATCGTTACCGGTCGCCGACATCTGAAGGCGGTAGCGTAATCGTGTAAACTGTGGGAGTGAAGGATAGCCGCACCACCTGTTAGAGCCACTCATCCGCTCAGATTCATGTAAGCGCAGCGACGAGGGCGAGAGTTTACGGTATGTAGACGCGGCAGGTACGGCGGTGTCCCGTGGGGGGAGGCACTGGTCCAGGACTGGGGATTGGCAGCGGCGGCGGTGGAGGAGGAATTCTGATTTCGCCAGGCGGTCTCATCTAATCGATAGAGGGCCGAGTAGTGACCCAAGACCGGACTCTTCTCCACCTGCAGTTGGTTTAGGCGAAGACTGATCTTCTGTAGGGCAGCGGATAGATCAGTGTCGTTAGATGAGGAGGAGTCGGAACTGCAGTCAGACTCGTTCACGGGGGTGTTGGACGTAGTCGAGCTGCTGCCGCGTTGTCGCGGGTCTCGCATCACAAAACCGTCCAGCTCGTGGGCCGCTGGCCTCTGGACGACCCGCAAAGGAGGGGAGTCCTCAGTGAGACAGTGGTATTCCGCCGGCCGAGATGAGGTTCTCTTCGGGGGCAATGGCGGTGGCAGGCTGGTGTAATTCAAGCCCGCCACCAGCTTGGGGTCCTCTATCTTCAGGTATGCCAAGCGAGCCATAGGTTTGGGTGGTTCAAGTGGCCCTGACGGCGGGGAGGGTTGTTGTGCTTGGCGGTTCACCTCGCGATCGCACCCGCGAGAGTCCTTCTGCACCAAGGTCGACACCTCACTGGGTCGGAGACTGCACCCGCTGGGTTTCCGCCTCAACCACTGAACCGTCTGCCAACCCTCAGAAGGCAGAGTTTCCGATTTCTTCAGACGGGCGGTGAGGTTTTGCGGCGTTGTGGAATTGCGGTAGGGCAATAGGGGCTCCGGTGGACAGGCGTCCTCGTCTGTGTCGCAGTTGCCACCCGCATTTCCACTGGAGCAACGTCGACTGGGGACTGGCGGACCGAGTGATCTGAAGTCGCGCATTGTGAAGGCCATAGCAGCACTTGAGAATTTGTCCGGCGAATATAATCCTGTATTAGTAGCTGTGGCCGCGGAAACAGCCTCCAACAAAGACCGACCCGTCTGGAGACCTGGGCAGCGAGCGGGTACGCGTGCAAGTAACGCTCACTTCGCTGGCTGTCGGCCACTGCCGCCCCCTGTCGCCTGCCTGTTCTCATTGGTTGGCCGGCGGTTCGTATCTCATTGGCCAGAGGGGCTGCAGGCAGACAACAGCTGACATACTAGTTGCATGCCTGCCTGCAAAGTAGACCTCGTGCGCGGCGTACTCTCGCTTAGCTGTCAGCCGGGCGATTTCCGCGCTGACAAAACTTGTCTCGTAGGCTGCTGTCATTCCCCTAATATGAAATTAATAGCATATCATGTCGGGCCGTTCGTTTTAAAGGAGTTTGCGCAAAACGAAAGTGGAACCTAACGACGAGGGTCGGGGTGATAAAATCTGCGCGCTTGAAATGAAAAGGGAACTTTAGGGAGTTTTTGACGCAAGTTTTGGCAGAGCACCTGCTCCGCGGCCATTTCGAAGCTTGATCTTGATCTGAATAAACAACCTCACACAGAGGAAGTTGTGGCGGCTTAAATTAATAAGTGGATTATAAGATGAAGGGTTGCAGGGCCCTACCCTTAATCATCAGGGTTAACAGTTTGCTCTTTGTATAATTGTTGCTTTCTCCCGAGCTTCCTCCGCACTCTACGTCAGGATGAATGGCCAGATTGTACCTTTGGGTTTAATAATTACAACAGGAAAAGATCCTCGGAGGTTTCAGGGATAAAAGCAAAGAAAATCAAATTTAAAATTGTTTACCTGATATAGATGTAAGTTCCTTAGGAAAAGTCCAGATTCACTTACTCGTATAAAGAATATAATTCGGGCTAAAATATGTGGGTCTGGCGTACACGTGCGAGGCACTTGTTTAAGGCTGGCAATCGCATAACTGAGATGGAGAAAGGAAAGTAGCTATCATCCAATAAAGGAAACCTGTTACTGGACGCATCTGGTATTTGCCCTGGAATGCATAAAATGTCACGCATAAAATCAAGTGCACACAGATGAATGAATGTAGTTAAACGTTCAGCTGACCTGTACGTTGTCGCAGGTGAGAATTGCAACACATTTGATCGTGATAGCTCGGTGCAGACGCCAGAACACTCACATTTCGGGACATGAAAAAGGGCCTTATTTTAGGCAAGAAATCAAGCATCTGCCAACTGCCTGTATTAAAAATTAACATAAAATATAGGCATAACTCTAGTCCACATTCTGTACTACTCAAAGCCGTGTCCGGATACTAGTAAAAGACTTCGCGTGGAAACTTTCGCAGCATATCATGACGGAAACTGCCTTCGATTATGGGCTCGGTGTCAAGCCATAGTCAAGAAGACCGGAGGTTGAAGAGAGCGCAGGTGGCTGGCACGGCCAGACTCGCACCTAGGCGTACTACTACATCTCTGGTCCAGAATCAACACTTGACCAGGGTTTTAGACAACAACAAAAAGGGGGTGGCTGCTCGGATCCCAGTTGGCGCAGCGTGAACCTGCGACTGGGCCTGCCGTCACACCCCAAATATTGGCATTTACTAGGGGTGTGCACTCCCAATAACGCCTGCCAGACTCCGATCTGGCCCCTGTTTTGTTCCAGCGCATCTTGGCGTGACCCTTTTTAGGGGCACAGACAGTGTCTCATTCCCTTCAGCGCCTTTTTACCTTCTGGAATTGTAACCGGGTTCGGACAACAGTCCATCACCCGACTGCAAACTGAACGGCCAAGTGATTCCACCTCCAAAGTGAGACTTCCCCACTCTTTGTGACTTTTCGAGATCTCAAATGATTACCTGTCAAGGCTCCTGCTGGGCATCCGCCGAGTTCTTACATCGGGTCATAACTGTTCAGCCTTTGGACTTTTGTTTGTCTGCATTATTCGATCCCCTGGCGAACTGATTTCCCCAATCACTCGTGGTGCCAACGGAGACCCCGCTAACCCCCTGCACAGCATCTTATTTGGATGCTGTCTTCGGTTCTGCCGGGAACGGACTCGGTCACACGTGCACACATCTCTCTCCAGTGTGGTCAAGTGCGCCGGCCACTGGCACTAGCCTACGACAGCCCCTTCTTGGTTGACCCTTGATGGGAAAGGGTGTTCTGGATCCAGCTCGGTACTCGCGACGCGGATGTGGAGAGTCTTAATGCTGGATACTGATCCGGATTCTTCCCGCGGTCTCCATCCCTCTCCGTTATTCTACGTCTTCCTCTGCGTGTCTCTTCCAGCCGCATAATTCTTTCAGGCTCTGCCGCCTTCATTCGATCAGATTTCTCTTCCCCCAGGCATCATGCGCAGTAAACGTCAAGTACGCTTGCCAGACAACTATGTCATTATTTTTCACCTGGTGCTCGATGCCTTCGATGCCGTTTCAAGTCGTCCTACGGTGCACTACCTCAGGGTGCCTGACGTCATGTCACGGCCTTCTACCTGCCCACGTACCTAAATCGACTCTCCGGTCCAGAAACACGGGTTTTAAACCAGGGGTAGGTCGTTTGACTTCCTCTTAACAGTAGGCGCGTTTTCATACTGTCCTGCGTTGCGCTAAGGACCGTGCCCCTGGGCAAGACATGGGAAGTCCACTTACGCATGAGTAGTTTCCTTTCTGTTGTCTGCAAGGTGACCCAGTTGTCAACGCCGCAAGTTATCAAGTTTGTTCTGGATATATTTTATATTTCCAACAAGTTGGTCTAGTTATTCTGCACCAGAAGTCTGTATAAGCCGTCTTTTTGACTTATTTTTTGACTTCGAAGCCCGTAAGAGCCTGGCTCTTTCCAAGATCCTTGCTCTGGACTTTGCCGCTCACGTGATTCCCGTGATCTGGCCCTGCCTTCTCCAAGCAAAGTCTTTTTTCCTCATGACCCAAATGGCACCCGATAGTCTTTCTCACGCACAATTCTTAACGTATATAGCAGGAATACTGGGTTGGAAAGACTTCGTTGCCGAGCCGAAGTTTCGAAGACACTACCGCCTACTCACTGGTGCCTGTTTTCGGACTGTATTTTCAAGAGAGTGGTAGTAGTAGTAGTAGTAGTAGTAGTAGTAGTAGTAGTAGTAGTAGTAGTAGTAGTAGTAGTAGTAGTAGTAGTAGTAGTAGTAGCCCATCAAACTACGCTGGGCCACTGGGACATTGTCTACTAGCAACAGCAGAAGCGGTCACAGTCACGATACGCAAGCCGGTCTTGCCGCGGCCAAAAGTCAATTAACCTAACAAATGCATGTAATTTTCCTCGACCTCCTACCCCTCCCCCCCCCCTCCTGACACCGCACTTGTCAGTGCTCTTCTCACCCACATTAACCATCATCATCTAATAATGATTGCCCCTTATTATCGTCTCATTTTCTCCCCCTGCTACTTGCCTTACTACGCACGTGTTTGAAATGAACCGTTTGCCATTAAAATGCTTTGGTCTGACAAGAGGTTATGGAGAACAAAGGTCTTCTAACAATGTAGTCTTTTTACTCCCTCTGTGGGAATTTTGGTAACTTCACAAATAAGGTTCTCCGAAATAAAATTCTACTCAAAATTATTTTCACCTAGTGCAGTACTTTGCTTTGCCTCAAAGTCTACGTCGGCTTCACTACAGCAAACCCTCGAGGGTGAGATGCATTTTCTGCCATCCCAGTTCAATCGAAATCCGCGATCGCCCGAGTTAATCGTTGCCTTGTGCCAGTCAAAATCCCACACTCGGAATGTCGATGAAGCCTCTATTGACTCCAGCATCCAAGTTACAACGGGTACGGAGGAAGATATCTAGGTCTCTATACCAGACGTTCTGCTGCTTCGCTGAATGAATATGTTTAGTCCAAACAAAAGTGCTGACTTTCTTTAAAAGAAAGCAGTCCTCCTTTCCTCCCCTCTTTGCCTCTGCCAAATGTTTCTCCCGGCAGGTCAACCAGCACGGTGTCTTATGCAAGTGTCTGTTGTGGTCTGGCAGGGACCATTTCGGTCGTTCGTGCTCATAAAACCTATTTGGTGTAACAGTTACCCTGGTAATATTTAGTTCATCCTCATCTACCCTCAAAGATGGGATTACTTAACTCACTGGTACATCAGCTGGTTTGCGTGGCATGTGTCGGACGGAGACCTTGTCGCAGACACACAGTCCCACGTTACACCGGCCACTGCATCAAATCTCACACGCTCTCGACATTGACTCCGATTTTTAGATACCACGAGGGGGGAGAAGGCACATTGACGTCATTTCATCTCGGATCCAGAGATGGACTTTCTCTTGTCTTGGAAGTCTGTCAGGTGACTGAAAAACTCGCTTCTGACCTGGACTGAAGCTCAAGCTGCAATGGCTCCTCCTTAGGGTGCCTTTGTGACCCTCACATCTCTGTGATCCCAACCTCCTTGCTTAGGGGTCACTGTCTGTCTGGTACGCATAGGCGTCACTCAATCCCTGTAAATTATTCGCCTATTTGTCTGGTACTCCATCTCACGCTAAGTCATTTTCAGACGAGTGGGGATGTTAGATATTAACGAATGATGGCTTTAATATTGTCAGTCACGTCAATCAGATCCAATGACCGACGATCGAATAAAGGATCTGCTGTTTTGGGTGTCAGATTTTAGGAAATGTTCTGCCTTATATAGCCGGCGTCCTTCCAACATCCTCCTTTCCATCCGCACCAGTGTAGCTTTACACTACGGAACTTTCTTCTGTTCATAAAAACGTGACCCAATCCCCCTGTTTTCTTCAGAATCTCCAAAGACTGAAGATTTAGACAAAATGAGGAAATTAATTCTGACCGACTTGTGGAGAAGCCGGCGACGTCGGTGCGACTCGAAATCACTAAAGCAAGGGCAAGGATTGTGAGTTTGATCACATTTGGATCAAATTACCCGCCCAACCTACTGCAATGTATGAAGTCCACCATTTCTGATACAGTAAACAGACTACGCAAGCGGGACTTCCTAAGCACTCAATCCAGAATCCACCTGATAACTACCGAGCTCACTTAATTAATTGCTGTTTTGACAGATATGCATAATTCATTTGACCCAATTGCGAAAATCGCGACGGCCTCGGTGAGATCAAAAACAGGGCAGCAAGGGTAAGGCTTGAGTACAGCCACCGGTATAGCCAACTGATCCAAATGAGTTTAAATTTACGGCTCCCGGTGTGGCTTCGTAGCCCAGGTGGTCATGCCGTTGGCTGTACTCAAACCTTGCTATTACTGTCGTGGGTTCAAATCTCACCGAATCCGCCGAGTTTATCACAAATAGATCTGATGGATTAATCAAATCTGGTAAAGTGAGGAAAAATGGAATCAACATCCCTATCCGGGCGTCTTTTTTGAAATACTTTTGCATTCTAAGGGTTCTTGATCCAAACTCTCCAAACTCTGCAAATCGATAAACTTTGTTCTAACTTTAGATATAGGCCCACATACAGTATGTGATCTAACTCATGAAAAATTCTTTATCTCGGAGGACGGATCAAACGCATCGACCAGAACAGCCAGTCGAAATTACTGCCATCAACTTAAGTGAAAACACAGAAGAAGTATTTAAAATAATTTTGTCTTGATTTTTACTAATAACACTTCTTAGTCAAGCAAAAATGTCAAAAACTCGAAAAATCTAGTTAAGTCAATAAAGTTAAAAAGCAATTCTTCTGAATCCTGCCCTGGTAATTTTCGCCACGAAGAAGCTAAAACGTTATAAATACGGCAACGTTTTAAATTGGGCCTTGGAAAATCCATTGAACAAAATTTTCCAGGCATTGGTAGATTATACGCTGTGGCAGCCAGTAAACTGCTCTAATTATCAATAATGTTTTTCTTTCAAAACGGCACTCAGAATTGAGAATAAAAATGTATCGTTTTCGCGTTTGTACGAAGCATTGCTTTACGCCGTGGGTAGGGTGGTCGCAGGCATAAAAGTCCTTATATGGTCACATCTCAGAAGGCTGGTCGTCGAATATGAAACTTGAACATGTTTGGGATATGCAATCACAGGAAGTTGGACGCGGGAATACAGACCCACAGTACTAGGACACTCCTATGTACTTGTTCTAACCTTGATCCTAACCTCAGTACAATTCTAACCCTCCTAACAATTCAACCCCCTTGGAATTTTGAGTAAGGCCACCTGTAATACGACGGAACCCTATATTCCCTCACCCAACCAACATTCCTTCCTTAAAAATACCGTGTGTTTTCTGGCGACAGTGGAGTTCGCTGAATTCCAAAGGCTTCTTCAAAATTGTTAGTAAATACGGCAACGATAGGGTGTAAGACCCACAAATAACTTGAGCTAGCCTGTGGACGGTGTCATACGTTGAATGGTGGTAGGGGGGTTTTACGGGTGGGACAACACACGGGACGGAGACCAAGAAGATACAGAAAATAGATGAATTTCCGCCAAAAATCTTATCGTACTCTGTCATTTGGCAACAAAGGTGAGCGCGATAAATAAAAAATGGGCAGAAAGCAATTTTAAAAAATAACGGACTTTGAATAAAGCGCCTCTGGCAAGTTTGCTGATAGAAGAGAACAGGCGAGTTCCAAGAAGCAGCTCAGAAGACGGAGATGCGATCACTGGAACAGTGATCCCATCTCCGTATTCTGAGCTGGTAAGTTTACTTGTAGCCACGAATAGATGGAAATTCCAAACAATGGGAACGGTGGATAAGAAGAGATGTTTAAGGTCACACTGAATTTTATGGTATCTTTGGAGTTGACACCTACTTGGGGGTCCTACACCCTATCGTTACCGTGAATAGTTTGCTGGTTTATCTCTAGTCGTAACAACGTTTGGGTGTTTTTCGGCTGGCCTGGTTGATTTTTTATGGCCGATACAAGCGAAAACTTGTGTTCCGGGGAGTAGCGAACAACCAGCAGATGCGATCGATGGGTAAAGGTCTTTATTCGCCTGACGTTTCGGGTTCGTTTATTATTATTATTATTATTACTATTTGTTATCGTCCTATTTATGCATTTATCATGAATCTGACCTCTTCCTGTTCTCAGACATAATCACTGTCTCATCGACAATAATGAGTCATCTCCCCCCCCGCCCGGAAGTTTTTCGTTTTGTTCCCAGGCGCCAGCTACTAACCCCTCCCCTGCTCCCATCGTTCCGGTTCCACAGCCCCGTGGGTACATCCAGTTTACCCTGCCTGATTATAAACGCGTGACAGGAAATGGGCGCTGAGGACAATGCCAGGTCCGAGGCAGGCGCCTAAATCGTACTCTACATGTTAATTTTTAGGAGGGCACTCAGTCCATTCGTACAGGCTTGCCTTTCGCGTTGAATCATTATTTCTTCCTTCAAAAAGTCAGTACATTTTTGAGGGCAGGAAAACTCAGCCTGTCTATCCGCAATCGCAGGAAGGTAGAAAAAAACTAGACAATGGGACAGCTCAAGGCCAGGCCCTAGACGCAGTCTGTCCTATCAACTGTCTGTAACCCTGTTCAAGCTGGCTGAGCACAAGAAATCACTCGAGCAGAAAACATTTGTCGTGAGACGGCCCTCAGTACCAAGTCTCCGGCTAGGAGTGAATCGAGCACAAACTTCCCAAAGTGCGTCGTTGCTGATAGTTAATGCTAAGAAGTAAGAATTCAAGTTTTTCTTCTTCTCTCAAGGGCACACTATGAACCCAATCGAAATGGGGATTTTTAAAAAAAGCGCCTTGTGTCGTCAGCACATATTTAGGGGTAACTTCGCAGGAACTTGGGGACGGGGGGGAGGGGAGTCAGTGGCAATAACTCCAAATTTCCGGTTATTAGATTTGCTCGACCTTGCTTGCACTGATTACTCATCGGTCACTTCGACTTGGATTTTCCGAGGCCTCTGATAAATCCCCTGGGGCTCTGGCCTACATGTTAGGTGGAGTTTCTTTCCTCTTCAAGATTCCATGCCCCGGATTTCGCCTCAGGGCGAAACTAAGCAAAAGCATGAATTTCGCAAAATATTTCGGCTAGGATATTATTTATGGAGGGGTCAATTTCTTCGGGTAGCAAGTGTGCTAAAAGAAAGTAACTGGCGATATTTATTTGTACGTGTAAGGGAAAGAAATAAAAAAGGCCTCGTGGTTACTTAAGGGTGGTTAAGGGGCTTTAGGATAGTCATCGAGTAAAAAAGCACGACGATG